CTTTTATTTATACATTTAAAATTTTTTTCAAGTTTACTAATTTTGATCATAGTAGGCATCATAGACTTTTCTCTATGGTAACCTACCATTGGAAGCATGAAAGATAATTTGACAGTTCAGTTTATAAGTTGCAAATTACTGATTGCGTTTCAATTTATAAGTGTAGGTACTATAAATTCAAAACATTAATTTATTAAAATAAATAAACTAAATAATAATTATAGACAGTGTCAGCAAGTTAGAAATGGTAACCTACTTTAATTTTATTTTTTAGTCCACAACCAAGCTTCAATTTATTTTTTACTCGATAAGCAAGCTTCAATTTTAATTCCAAACTCAGGAAAGTAATATTTACCCAATAAATACATTAGAATAAAGACTTTATTTTTTATGTTGCGATCGGCTATTTAGATATATGTATATTTTTTATTCAGTTGTTTTTCGTTTTTTTGTAATTAGTTATTTTGCATTTTTTTATATTTATGTAATATAATTCTATACAGTGTGTTTCTGGAGAAACGCAAACGATATGGATTTTAAATTTTAATAGCATATACAATTTGATTTAGACTATACCTAAAGTCAATAGTTTTCAAGATATTAATTTTTTTCGTTAAAATTTTGATAAATGCACGTTAATCAAAAATTGCCTCAAATTTTTTTGTTAAACCCTAGGGTTTTACATTTATAATAAAAAAGTTATTATTGTTTGAAGTTTGCCTAATTTCAAGTCGTTTTTCTCAAGATATTTGTTAAAAAACCTTAAAAAATGAAATTATTTAAATAATGTTTTAATATTCCGAAAATTCCAATCCCAGCTGTATGTTTTAACATATTTAAATAGAAAATTAAAGAATCTTTCGATTGGTATTATAACCGTTTCCTAGTTAAAATTTCAGAGACATTTAACAATTTCTAATATTTTCAATACTATTGTGAAATTCTACCAAGGGTTAATGTGACAGTATCCATGGTTACCACTTAATCTGTCATTGTTTAAAATTAATTAAAATATTTTATTGAAAAATTAATAACTCGAAAAGTATTGACTTTAGGTATAGGATATGGTAGAGCCATTTTACTCAGAATTTTATGTAGATTTTAAAAATGTAAAAATATAAGAGGTGTCCTGTTTAAAATTACAAAGTTAAAGACATTTACGGTAAAAAAGGAAGTATTATTTGGTTCAAAATAATTTATGAAAAAAGTCTAAATCGAATAATTTACGCTATTAAAATTTTAAATCGATGTCTTTCGCGATTCCCTACATACTTGTAACGGGCTACGTACGTGAAACACCCTGTATATTATGTAATTTATGTGTTATGCCAAACTTAATTATTAATCAAATATACAACAATATTTGTATAAAATAACAAAATGTACTAAACTACCTAAACATTTATGAATACTGCTACTGCTGATTCAAAACTGATCCTGTCCACAGAAACATCATTTGCATAAAAAAGTTAATATATCAAATAATAGTCAAATATCAATACTTTAACGTGTTATACTCAAATTTATAAAACAAAGTTGCTTTTTCGATTTTTAAATTTTAAATTAAATTATCACCAGCGCCCCCTGTACGTTAAAATCTAAACAAGTTTTTTAAGATCTACATTTTGTCCAAATTTTAAATCGATACGTTTTGAAATAAAAGAGTTATTAAAAAAATTAAATTTCTTCATTTTTAACACAGTGAAGAAAAAAATAAAAATAAAAACAGAGTTGTCAATGGGCGAGATTTTTTTTTTAAGTAGGTACTTAATTTAGATGTAGAAATAATGTAAAAAAGTTTCAATCGATTTCTTGAACCCTTGCAAATCGACCGTTCGATCCTTTCGCGAAACCGTAGTTAACACAGTTTTTTTAATGTAGTACGGACCTAAACAAGATATCAAAAATTTCTCAAAACCGTTTCTAGGATAAATGTGAAGAATTAGTATAACCAACCCTGGGGCTGTAGGCAACCCAACTAATTTTTTATAAAAAAATATAAAATTAAACTATTAAATATGAAATTAAACCAGTTTGTTGTCGTAAAATCATTAGTAAAAAACTGGAGAACAAAATAATTAGTATAATAAACTAAAAATGCATAAATAAACAAATTGTTTAACAATAATCAAAACACTAATTTTTAGCTTTTTAAATTAAATGCATAAAATGACTTCCCTGTCGCAGATATTCAATAGAATGAGTTTTGTAGGCCATAGATTTATAGTGACCCCATAAGAAAAAGTCCAATGGTCTTAGATCTGGAGATCTCGGAGGCCATTCTATTGGTCCTCTTGTACCAATTGACTGTTTTGGATAATTCTGATATATATAGCCAGCTACTACATAATGAGGTGGTGCCCCATCTTGTTGAAAATGTGATAAATTTTCATCCAAAGTTCATTATCCTCTCTTTTTTGATTTTTTATGACTGTAATGTTTTATCTAAAATTTCAAAATAAATTTGACCATTCAAATTTTGGTCAATACAATTTATTTAATAAGGGACCAATAATATAATCTTCCAAAATTTCCAAAGTTTTTTAGGATACCGGGATAGCGATATTAAGGCTCTACTCTGTAGATCCTTAGTTCTATCACAGTTAAACTATTGTGAATCACTCAACGGTCCTTGTATTAGGAAAGATGATAGGAACAGAATTCAAAAGCTTCAAAATTTATGCCTTAGACTAATTTTTGGAATTAAAAAATTTGATCGTATTTCACATACCCTTACTTACAGTAACTGGCTTAATATGGAGGACACCCGAAAAGTTAATAGCCTAATGCTCTATTACAATGTTATTTATAACCAGTCTCCACCATATCTATATAATAAAATAAAATTTTGACATCTGATCTGCATGATGTTGGTCTAAGACCCAATAAGACCATAGCTATTCCAAAACATAAAACAGCAAACTTTGAGCGCAGTTTTTCCTATCAAATTGCAAAAAACCTTAATGCTTTGCCAACAAAAAAAGTTGTATGAGCTATCAAAAAATAATTTAAAACAAAAATTAAATACAATGTTTAGAATAAACTTATAAGCAGTTATATCTAATTTTATTTACTAAATAAATATGCATTTGTTTACCTATATATTTAAGATTTTTTTTATTTTATGTTACATAATATTTTTTTACATTAGGTTAAGTCAAGGGTTAGATGGAAGAACAGCTGTTTATTGTGCTCGACCAAGTCCAAGTCCAAATAAACAAGCTGAATCTCGCCTTTGATTTATCTTTATTTTTTTTATGTAGATACCATTTTTATTTATGAATAAAAACCTTTATTATTATCTAGATAAAAAAAACCTAGACTAAAAGAGCTCTTTTATATGCCACTGGTGGTAAAAAATGGTAATTAACATGTTTTTAGTGCTTATTTCTTATTTTTATGTTTTTTTTTATTTTACACAGTTTTATAGGATTTTTGTACTATAATTATAATAAAAACAAAAAGTAACATTATAACATTATAAAAAGTCTTAAAAACCTATGTTTTATATAAAATAAAAAATTGCATTGCATGACCCCGGCGCATTCGCCATTATTGCAAAAGGATTATATTATAAAAACATGTTTCTTTTGATAATATTACACAAAATAATTTGAAACAAAAAACTTTTAAAATTACTTTAACACATTTTTAGTTGGCATTGTGACTAATTTAAATACTTGTAGGTATTTACTCGCACACATTTGTTATTAGTACTCTGTTAAAATGAATTAGTTAATAATGACTAATTGCCATAGCAAAAAAGCAGCCACTAATAATTCTAGTCAACAGTAATTTGTATCTCGAACTTTTGGCAGTCAATTTATATGTAAATTTGTCCGCTGAATCCGAAAATGATGTCAAAGACTAAAGAAAAAATGGAAAACTGTGATGAGGAGGATATTCCTATTAATATTAAGAGCTCAAATTTGGTGAGCACTTTCTAGAGGTGCATTGGAACCAATGTTTCAGTGTCGAAAGTAAAAAAAATATTCGATTTTTTATAATTACCCTATAATATAATACTATATTGCACTTATAAGTCATTTTCACTTAACAGCAGCACTTAAAACCTTGTTATTCCAAGTTACCGAAATATTAAGTAAATGACCACATTCAAACAAATAAATCAGGCTATTTAAAAAAGCAAACATTTGTTTCGTTGAATTACTATATATTTCGTGAAAATATAAATTATAATTTATACCGTTTAATATTATATTTTCACGAAATATATAGTGATTCAAATAATTATTTGTCTAAAATAAATATTTTTTTCTTATAGATATAAGTTTGCGTTACATTAAAGTAAAAAAATATATTTACTTACTTTAAGTAAATGTTTTATTTCTTTAAGTTACCAACTAACTTAATTCATCTAAACCTGGTATAAAAAGTCAACTAAGAATTGGCTTGTATTAACCAAATATTAGTTTAAAAAGGACCAGTAAATGTAAGTTGTCTACCAAATAAACATTTTCTTGTATATATCAAAATAAAGGATTTATTTAAGTCAAGCTGAATATATTAAATTCAAGACATTACTTTTCTCTGTGTAAGAAATACTTATATAATTAGGTACCTATTATTTTTGTGGTTCACTTAGATAACCCCATATATTTTGTTAATCTAGATCGGATGGAATTATCAGGCATGTCCAGTTTCTAAAAGCAATATTTTCCAACATTTCTGTCTTTTGAAAGTCTGTTGGCTAAAACAACATACATTACAAAAAATTCTTTTACATACGAGTATTACTTTCTCTTAAATTTTAATTTGGCTAAATTAGCTAAATTAGTATTATTATATATTAGTAATATATAATATAAATATAATATATCAATATAATATAAATTCTGTTAATCGTCAATTTTTTTACTATTTCAAATATATCCGCTGTCCAAGACATGGGTAGTATCCCCAATTATAATTTGTAAATGCACACATATCGTTACAAAAGGGACATAGAAATAATAATTATAGACCTGTTAATTTCAAAACTGCTTTATTTTTATCATAATTTACAAATACTGTTTTTTTAAATGTATAGCTAATTTTTCTCCTATCATAACACATGGTGCATTGGGATGACCGGATAATGTAAGTGGAAAAACACTTGCGTCCGCCACTCTTAATCTATGAACTCCATGTACTTTTAATTCATGATTGACAACATACTTTTTGGGATTCGGACCCATTGGACAAGTACCCACAGGATGATATAAATTAGATGTCATTTGTGCTATGACACAGTACCAATATTTTTCACTTAAAAATTCGTGCTGTTTGCAGGCTGGAAGCTCTTTTATACCTAAAGTGGCGTTAACCACTTGCATATTTTTTACCCAATTTAAAGTCATTTTAATGCCTTCATAAATAGTTTTAGCATCTATATTTTCTTTATCTGACAAATGATTTGGATCAATAAGGGGAAAATCATAGGGGTTATTGGTTTTAAGTTTAACACTTCCTACAGATTTAACATGGAGAGCAGTAGGAACTACGATAAAACACCTTGGTGGATCCAAAGGTGCATAAAATGCTTCGTATGTTTCATCCTTTAAATTATACGCCTTTTTTATAAATGCATTTGTGCAGTTACCAGCACCATATATTATTTCTAAATCTGGATAATTTTGAACTGATTCAAATTTCGTTTGGTAAAAAGACATTCCTTTTAATTCAGCTGGTACTGTTAGTGGACCATAGCCATTTAAGTATTCTCTTACATACTCATCGAATGGTTTTATGGGTTCCGTGTAATTTGAACTAAACAACAATCCAAAAAATGCAGGGTGTTCCCTCAGGGTTTTGCCTACAGGTAAATCCTTTAAGACTAGAATACTCTTTTCTCTTAAATGTTCTTTAGGTCCTATACCAGAAAGCATTAAAATTTGTGGAGTATTAATGGAACCACCAGATACAATGACTTCCTTAGTAGCCCAAGCCACATATTTACTACGGTTATAGGAAAAATTAACACCTGTTGCAGTTAATTGACCTTTCTTATCTTTTTTAAACAAAATTTTAGTAACCAAACTGTTAGTTTGCACTTTAAGATTTTTTCTTGAAAGTATAGGTAATATAAATGCCGTCCCATCGTCTACTTTTTTACCATTTCTAATACATCCAGGCTTTGGTCCAAATCCAATTTGTTCTGGACTATTGGGATCAGCAAACTTATATCCCGAAGAGGCTTGGGCTTTATACCAGGCATTTAACTGGGGATCAGTGGTTGGATAATACTCTACATACATCGGACCAGATGTGTTATGGTATGGCCAATCCACTTCAGTCTGCGGGTTGTTTTGATGCATGGCCTCAGTTTTCTTAAAAATTGGTAGGACATCTTTATAGGACCAACCTGGGTTTCCCAATGACTCCCATTTGTCGAAGTCATGGGGATGTCCTCTTACATACATCTGACCGTTTATTAAAGTCGTACCACCCACTCCTTGACCTCTAGGTATGATGCACTGTTCGTTAACCATGCCTTAAAATAAAATATGAATACATAATTGAATTAAGTTTCATCATATATACCCAAGCATGAATACTTTTGCGAAACTGTTTTGTATCCCCAATTGAATTTTGTAAATCTACTCATATCAATAACAAAAGGGATGTCAGTATAGTTGTTGGGATATCCCCCTGCCTCCAATAAAAGTACCTTAAAATCTTTTTCTTCTGAAAGTCTATTAGCCAATATAGTACCAGTAGCTCCAGCTCCTATTATTATAAAATCATAACAGCCAAAATCTAAAAAAATGCGATATAGATATTATAATATAATACAGGGTGAGACATTTAACTTGAAACTTTAAAATATCTCAGTTAGTATGCATTTTACGAAAAAATGTTTTAAATAAAAATTAAATGATTCGAGGGGGGAAATCAATCAGTACTAAAATTGGTCCTCTTTATAGTGGAAACAGGGGGTAACTTTAAAATTTCCAATGGAACACTTTATTTTCTATTGCATATTCGGATCATTCGACTAAAAATAGGTAGATTTTGTCTAAAACATTTTTTCATATTTATAATAAATGGCGCTGTAATGAAAAAAATCATTTTTGTTCGATTTTTCGTAAGTAATATCATAAGGGCATCTAATTTTTGCGAAAAATATCGAAAAGACACGTTGCTAAATAATATTTTAACAAGAAGCAAAGTGCAGGTGGCAACAAAAATCCGAGTCGACGCGACGACGAGGATTTAAGCGCCTGCAGGTGCACAAATTTAATGCATTTTGTTAAAAAATATTACTTAGCATTGTGTTTTTTCGATTTTTTTCGCAGGAAAAATTAGATGCCCGAGTGGTATTTGACAAGACTAGAGATGCGACTTGAAAAAAAACGGTCCGTTTTTTTTGTTTTTTTTAGTTTTTTTTTTCATTGTTTTTTTTCAAATGGTTTTTTTTCACATTTTAGGTTTTTTTTCAAGATTAGTCCCATTTACCTAATTTTTTATGTTTCCAGTCCAGTTCATGGACTAAAATTAGCTACTAAATGACTAAAAAAAGTAACTACCTATAAAATTTTAGATTTTTCAAAAAAATTCATGTAGAGTATGAATTTTTTTTTAAACAATAGCAAATTTTTGTATAACATTTATTAATTGGTGGTTTAGTCAGAACATTCCGTGGGCCAAAAAAGAAAGCCAAAAAAATTTTATTACGGTAATCCTTTAATTTGTTCTATTAGTGTAGAAGTTTTACATTGATATTGGTTTCTTATGTGGAAACTACCAAATAATAAGAAATCAGATATTTTAGTCTCAGTCAAAATTTTCAATAATGAAAAATGAAATATATTCTACCTTTCACTTTATTATTAATATACATTTAACCAAAATTTCATTTTGAAAAATTACTCCATTTTTTAAGATTTATGTTATTTATTGACAGAATATGCTTTATTGTAGCAGATTTGAAAAAAATACAAAAAAAAAACCGGTTTTTTTTTCATGTTTTTTTTCACATCTGAAAAAAAAACCGTTTTTTTACATCTCTAGACAAGACTATTTTATGAGTAACAGTTAACACAGTTAACAATTAAAATATAAATTGCAATTTTTGGTGACAACAGCTGTCAAGTTTTGCCGCAAGTAAACTCGAAAAAACTGCTGACAGGTGCTGTCATACAGTTTTTCCACCTAGAAACCATTTGTAATTCAAAATTGCGCGTTTTTATTGGTGGAAATTAAGACGAGGGAAATAGTCTTCTGTATACGATTCTCCAATAATTAAGTGTCAAGACACTGATTGTTGATTATTAAAGTTATTTTGTCTTTTTAGAAAGCTTCCAAGAGGCCTACAATACGAATCTTCTGCGAATAATCGAAAAAAGTTGAAAATCGGAATAATCAATTTTTTTCAATCATCTCTTTTCTTTAATCGGTACTTAAGCATACCAAAAAAAACTTTTTAAGTATTTCTTTCAAATGAGACCACAAAGGAAGTTTTAGCTTGCTCCACTGCTGAGAAATTCCGATTCGAAATGTGTGCGGTTTTTATGGCACACCCTTTATAATATATATATGGTAAGTACCATGTAACCGGACCGTTTGTGGAACGTTTGTGTTGGACCGGTCCAGCAAAAAAAGGTTCGACTGGACCGGACCGTTGTGGAACATTGACAGTGTGGACCGCCAAAAACGGTCGGTCCACGGTCCATGAACCGGTCCATGTTTATTTATTGAGAAATTATATTGAAGTGATAAAGAAATGCTAATATTTAGTTAAAATAGATAGGTAAATTATTTGATAATATGTTCTATTTTATTATCTTCATATTTTTTAATTTTTTATTATTAAATTTACTATTAGTTTTATTAAGAACCCTATGACTTAAGTCAATTTTTTTTTCAAATTTATTGTACTATTCTCAGATACACCCGGTATATAAATATATATATAAATAAATAAATAAATAAATAATAAATCCACCCTTATATCTCAGTTATTAATAATGCGATTTGCTTCAAATTTGGGTGGTGATTGTATGTTGGAGAAATGAAATATTAGCTAAAGTAATTTTTTTATTTATCATTGGCGTACGGTGTTAGGGGGTAAAAGGGGGTCGATTTTTCGGCAAAAGGATATTAGGGCTTATTTTAGATAAATTTTTCAATCATATTTAGATTCAGCATCCCCAAAAACCCCTTAATCCATATTCTTAAAATCTCAAAAACTGATTATGGCAGAAACGAAAAATTAATTAATTTATCAAGACATTTTTAATTTTTTACAACTTGTTTATTTAATTGCAATAACAAACCTAAAAATTAATATTTTTTAAATTCTGGTCTCTTCTACCGTTCACTCACTTTTCTTAAAGTTTGGGAGTAATTTCTTGACACGCTTGCCTAATTCTGACACAAAGTTGTTCTCTGTTACGCGGACGAGTAAAATACACTTTATTTTTCAAGTATCCCCATAGAAAAAAATCACAAGGGGTAATATCAGGCGATCTAGGGGGCCATGGTTTTAAAGGGCTATTTCTACCTAAGTTCATAGGAAAATTTTCATTTAAAAAATTGGAAGTATACATTTTCTCTCTGTGCTAAAGAATTTAATTCCATTAAAAAATCATAAAATCATTTTTTAAAAAATTTAGAAAATAGAAAAAAATATTGCGCTTTAAACTTTTCCATATTTTATTTTTGGTTAAATTTAGTGTCCTCGCAACTGCCCTTATACTATAGTAATGGTATACCATTTAGATTGTTCCAAAATTCTGCTAAGATGCTTTCGTCGTCTGGATATTGTCGTCGATTTAAATTGTACTTTCTTGGTCTTATTTTCAACACGGATCCGGTTCTTGCAAACAATTTGTTGATATCACAGTTTTGTGCCAAACTGGCGCGTAGATCTTTCATTATCACCAATTAAGCGGATAATTTCAACTTTTTCTTCAATTGTAAGAACTACTCTCTGATTTTGTGCCATTTTATTAATGCATTAATAAATGACACTGTTTAACTTTTGACAATTCGTACGAATTGCCAAATTTTAAACAAAAACTTGAGTTTCAAATAACTCTTTGATTTAATGTGCACTGGTCACTGACCAGTGGGCAGCGTGATGTCTTAATAAATTAATTAATTTTTTGTTCTGCCATAATCAGTTTTTTAGATTTTAAGAATATGGATTAAGGGGTTTTTGAGGATGCTAAATCTAAATATGGTTGAAAAAATTATCTAAAATAGGCCCTAATATCCTTTTGCCCAAAAATCGACCCTCTTTTACCCCCTAAAACTGTGCCACGGCTACAAAATCTACTATTAGTTTAATTTTGAATTTTAATTAATAGCAGGCCTATTCAGGGTTACGCAACATAAAATATAATCTAAGATTATAGAATTATGTAGCTGTTGCACTTGAAAAGCTGATCTTAGGTGTCAAGTTTCACAAAATTCATAAAAATGCCAATATCTTAAAAACTAATGATTTTTTACTAAGGTCATGTTTTGACATTCTGATTAGTCATGAACTGACCTATTATTCCTTCAAAGGAATAATAGGTCAGCTCATGACTAATTTTATTTTATGTTGGGTGTTAAAAATCATTTAGGTAATTTGTCAAAATGTTGGTATCAAGTAATTTAATAATTATCTATAGACATATATGTCTATAGATAATTATTAAATTACTATATATATATATATGTTATGCTTATTAATTGATAATATGTTTCGTTTTTAAACAAATAAAACTCGTGGTTTTAAGTTTTTTATTGATCTTCTAGGTTATAAATAATCATTATTACTGGTATTTAGTGAATTTGACGTAAATTTGATGCAGCATTCTTAATGAATTTATGTGTTACTATAGTAATTTGTAATTTGTTAATAACTCCTTCCTATTTCTGGCTTCATGTTGAGTTTCTCAATTAGCAAATATAGTTCCCAGTCCTTTTTAAATGTCACTGCCCCTAAAGTATAGTTCCTAGACTCACCCTGCCACTTAAAATGTTACTCTATAAGGAATAGTCACTTTGAAGTATATTTCGATAGTGACTGGTTAGTGCATAAAAGTGGAAAATAAACACCCTGATTGCAAGTGGCAAACATGTAATTTAAAGAAGTGGCTGGAACTACCCGATTTTTCGAATATGACACCATAAAAGACCAAAAACTTTATAGTAACTTTTTAAAGTATCAGTCACTAACAAGTGCTACCATAATGCCTCCATTAAGTTTTTGTTACTTTATAGTAACAATTTAAGTTACGGAGTAGTCGCGGCCACGACACCTGGTTTCTTATAATTTATAGTAGCATTGAAAGTAGCAAAATGGTTACTGCTACCTTCCTAGGTCATTATAAAGTAGCCGGCGTTTATCCATTGCCACTAAAAAGTCGCGAGGATCAAAAATGGCTACTTTATAGTGACCATAACTTAATATACCCTAATAAATGTAATTGCCTCAGATTGCGTATTGCATAGTGTGCTGCTGTTTTGGTGTTTCCTTTTACTTGCTTTTAAGCTTTATTAAAATTCTGTAAAATGCCTTAGGTAAATAAAAAGAAATTAAGATATTCTAGTTCTTTCTATCAAAAATTAAACAAAAGGAATCACTGCGAGCCGAAGCATCAACGTCAAAAACAAAAACTACATCTTTCTATAATCCTACTGATGAACATCATAAATCAGGTAGTGACTGTGGCAATTTTGAAGCTGTTTCTCAAGATGTGACCTTTTATATTCGCAGATTATGTGTTCGAATACTTTGCTGCTCGTATACTTAGTAGATGTTT